GTTAACCTATCAACCGCTATCTTCAAACCCACCAAGTATTCAGCACCAGCTTCTCAAACATTCAAATTCTCAGTTGAGTGTTCTTTAACAACTAGCTTGCAAGTAACTAAATGGCTGTAACTAAATTAATAAGGTTGTAAACAATTATGGGACAAAGCTAAGGCAATGATTTCCCCTATTGATGGAATCCCTCCTGTTTATGCTCATACAAATTTACCCACTCATCTCTATCAATCTTGAACGCTAATCTTACCGCAAATCTCTCCCGAGTAATCACAGTAATCTACTATTGCACTCTCCCGAGATACACTAGCTTGCTTTATTTAGCACAATTCAATCTAGATTGCACCCAAGACTTCGTTATTCCTAATCCCGCCTTTAAACCCGCAATTATAGATTCCTCTAATAATCTAGGAGTGGTGTTGTTCAACAATACCCTAAATATGCACTCTTTTCCAAGTTATGCACACTAAATAAGTACAGCTAATTGAGGATCCTGTCAATTAACTACGACGAACACGAAGTTGAACAAATAAAGATTAAACTAGCAATTTGTATTCACATAAACAAGAAGTTCATCACCCAATAAGTTCCATCAAAGCCTTAGACAAGGAATTTAGCTACTCATAGATATGGGAGAATAAACTACACTTGAATTCATCATAAAAATCAAAAGAAAGGAAGAAAGATGTTTAGAGTACTTGCTCCCAATTGTTTTCCTTGCTAAGAAACCTAAAAAATCAATACATGCCTCTCTTGGGCGAAGTCTAATGTTTTAAAATAGGGTTTAGGTCTAAAAATCCCGTAATTGACACTTTGGTCCCCGAAGTTTCTATGCCTACCGCGGTTCTACCGCGGTCGCGGTAGAACCGCGGCCAAACACCCTCGCGGAATCTCTGATCTTCTGAAGCTGCTTCCCACCGCGGTTCTGCCGCGGTCGCGGTGGAACCGCTGTGGATCCAGTACTCTGAATCTTCGGCCTGTTTTGCATGGTTCACTTGGGAAATTTCACAGTTGGCCTCTTTTTCATCACTTTTAACTCCAAAACTGCTCCTTAGCCTTCCTTATACCTATATCACCTACAAATCATGAAAAGCAATAATAAGAGCATTTTGTTATCACTTTTAGCATTAAAACTACACAAGAAGGTGATTATTTAATGGTGTGATTATAGTCAAATTCACCTATTATCAATTGTCAATGGTGGAATCGTGAGTGAGTGTAAGATACGTGGGGGGAGGGGGGGGGGGGGGTGGGATGTGGAGAGAGAAACGTGGGGGAGTGGAAGATACGTTAGAGTTATTTTAGGACACTAATTATTATCATTAATTCCCTTAAGATGTACATAAATGGTAATTGGGTATATAAAATGTAATTATAGTAAAACTTGAGTAGGGAGGGTAATATAGTTTCATATTGTGTATATGAATGTAAAAATTAAATTAGGCACACAATAGTGATATAAAAATTTGAAAAGATAAATTAGTAGGCATATTTATAAAGAATAACTAAACCTTTTTGATTGGGATTTTACACAAATAGGCAAAAACACAAATGTATGAACATATGTACCTCAGTCTCTAAAGTGGCTAAACAACAGGTTAGGAATATAATTGATTTGGTATCAAACAAATGAAGACCAAGACAAAGTATATAAGTCCTCAACTTCGTGCAAAACTACTTTTGAAATCCTAGATACAATAAATAGATAAATTAGGTAATATAATAATTGATTCTTTTTCCTAATAAAGAGCCAATCATTATGTTAGTACCAAATAAGGTTAAAGATAAATTGGTAATACTAAAATATCATTTAGTAAGAAAAGGTATAATAGCGTCTGGACATAAAAGTTGTGATTTTTTTCCCCCAGAAAATAGTATTTGGAGTTAAGTTGAAAAATAGTATTTAAAATTTAAAATTATGTTTGGACATGTATTTCACTTGAAAAAAATATTGCAGCTTTGTATGGGGAAAAAATAACTGATTTTTGAAAAATCTCCAAAAACTTACAATTTTTAATGGACAAACACGTTTTTTGAAAAATAATTCCGAAAAATATTGGTTAAAAATATATGGACAAACGGGTACATAATCATTTAACCAGAGGCGAAACTATGTGTGGTCAAGGGTGGTGAAACTATGTGTGGTCAAGGGTGGTCAACTGAACATCCTTCGCTGAAAAATTATATTGTATATAAAGTAAAAATATTACTAGTTATTGATCAAAATATAAACTTTGAACACCCTAAATCAATGTAACATTTACATTCTTCATGCTTTAGTTTAATTCTCCTCTTTTTCTTAGCATGATTTTCAGTTTTTTATGATTTTTCAATGCAATGCTTTGTTTATTTATTAGATATAAGCCTCATTCAAAACGTTTTACCATTCATGTACAAAAACAAAAAATATTACTACTATATAATAATCATGCCGTTTAGTCTCTCCTATTCTCCTGAATAATACCAAGATAATTTAATCATATTTATATCTTATATAATTACTTGTAACGCATTACTCTCATCATCAATAGCATTTTTTTCCCCATCTTCTTTATCTTCTTTGAAAAGACTTTTCAAATCTTGAATATAATTGCAAAACTGTTGTTTTCATATCGGATAAAGCATAACTTTCCAACAAAAATGGAACTTTTCCTCAGAAGTTTGAGTTCTTGTTGAGAACGACCGAGCATTATATATCTTTTTTTTTTTTTAATTTCTCACTCGGTGTTCGGTACCTGCATTGGAACCCGACTATATTCGGATTCACGCCAAGTAGGGTTCCATTATTAGATATAATTGTCGCACTTCAATGATTCTATAACAAGACTTGGTTGGATATTGCCGAAAGAGATTTTAAAAGCTTGACTTAATTCTGACGATTGACAAGGTAACTTTAATCTCTCAGTGTTTCATGTACTTCTTTCACTTCGTTGTCTTACTATCTTGTTGTTATTAGTGTTTGTTAATTACTACTGCTTTCTTTTCATCTTTTTTCTTGAGCCGAGGATTAATTACTAAAACCATTGCCTTAAGCCTCCCAAAATTAATTAAGAGGCCCCAAAAAAATTATTAGGAGCTATATTATGCATAACATATACATGAATTTATTTTATATAATGATTATTAATAAGAGATTAAATTTTAAGAATTTTTTATTCTGTTGAGGTTATATAGATAGAGTTAGCAAATAAAATAAATTTTGTCCCTTAGTAGTTAGCATATTTATCTTTCTCTTCAATTTTAATTTTCTCTCCCCTAAGTTCATTCAATAAAATGCTTCGGGGAGTTGAAAATCAGCATAGATCCGGAGATTTTCGAATAGGGCAACCTTTCCCATATTTTTGACTATTTTATTTTCTGACTTGTAACTCACTGTCTCTGACTTAACTACTTTATTTAGTCATATTTTGGTTGATTCATAGATCAGAAAGCAAATTCTTTTGTGTCTCATTATTATATGAATTTTATGAAATAAATTTAAGAGGCCTTTTAATATAGCTTGGCTTTAGGCCACTATATCCGTTGAGCTCCGGTCTATCGGAAACAACCTTTTTACTTTCTAAGTAGAGGTAGGTCTGCATACACACTACCCTTCCCAGACCGTACTCTATTTGGGAGATTATACTGGGTTTTTTGTTGTTGTTGTTGTTGTTGTCGTCGTCATCGTCGTTGTTGTTTTAGTGTTTCATGTACAAAGTTATTCTATTCTTGGGCCTTGTTATCTTTTTATGATTTTCGAGATAACTTTAAACATGAAATGGCAGAAGGCCTTGTTATCTTTTTATGATTTTCGAGATAACTTTAAACATGAAATGGCAGAAAAATAGTGAGGATATATTATAGCAATGGGAATTAAGTTAGCTAGCATATGGCTTTGACATTTAATTAGACCATTCGAACTATTTGAGTTTTTCCAGTTTATTCACCCGTTTTTTCTACTCTTCGTGACAAAATTAAAATATATTCATATTATGAGTTAGATTGTTCATCATTATTCCTTTAACGTTTATTTTACCACTCAAGAAATTCTTTTAAGGATTTTTATGTGAATTTTTAAAATTCATTAATATGAAATAAACGCACAACACAAAAGGCAGAACACTTTTTATAGGATGAAAAATCACCCATGAGTTACAAACGTTAATTAGTCTAATAGTATTAATTAGTTACATGCATAAGTGTGAATGGACATCCATCCACCAATGCAATTTATAACATTTACCTAATAATTAGGTAAAAGAGCCATGATTATTATATTTACCTATTAAGGGTAGATAAATTAACATAGTGAGATATCACTTGGTCAAAAATAGTATAACCATTTGTGTGTTGAAAGCCGTCAATTTTATATGATTGATTGACCCATAATTAATACTTGTTTAACCTAATATTATATAAGGATTATAGTTCCTAATTATTTTGACATCATCTTTTTTGCCTCTTCTTACATAAGGACAAAATAAAATCCAATTAGCATACTATAAATACCCTTTGTAGTATCATTCTTTAAGCTAACTAAACCTCTTAATACTTTTATACGGAGGCGGACCCATGATTTGAAGGTCTCGGGTGCATTTTTGGATTCAACCAAACTTTGCTTTGTATATAGAGTGTTCACAACTAATATATCACTATTTCCGAAAGACATATATACATGTATACATAGAATTTTTGCTGAACTTTACGGGTGCTGATGACCACTTTTTATATAGCATAGGTTCGCCTATGCAGTTTTATCATCTCTTCTGACTCTGAACATCAAATTAAGCCATTTTGTGTTTTGTGAGACAAAGTTAATAGGCAAAATGGATATTGATGAAAGGAAACAAGATCTTTAGCTATGCGATAGTCGTCTTGATTCTATTTTGCTTTTATTTTGCTTGATCAGTTGGGAATGGGAAGTGCACTGGAGACACTTTGTGGTCAATCATATGGTGCTTTGCACCATCACATGCTTCGCATTCATATGCAAAGGGCAATGTTTGTTAGTCTTTTAGTCAGCATACCTATTGTTTGTATTTGGGCTAATGCAGGACATATTCTTGTAATCTTGAAACAAGATCCTGAGATAGCAGCCGAAGCAGGAATTTATACACGCTTCATGATACCGAGCATCTTTGCCTATGGACTATTAGAATGCCAGATTAGGTTTCTACAAGCTCAAAACAATGTCCGGCCCAAGATGTTAAGCACAGGAGTCACTCTGTTGTTGCATGTTTTCAGTTGTTGGATTCTCGTGCTCAAAATCGGCCTTGGTAGTAAAGGTGCTGCTCTGGCTAATGCTACATCTTACTGGATTAATGTGTTCTTGCTAGCTGCTTATGTTAGGATATCTCCTTCGTGCAAAAGTACTTGGACCGGATTCTCAACTGAACCATTTACTGATATCCCAAGATATCTTAGACTAGCCATTCCTTCAGCTCTTATGATTTGGTAATTCTCAGTTGCTTTCAATAAATAAGTAATGAATATATTCATAATTCGTGGTGCTTTATTACTACATGTTGTGTTTGTTGTTGTTATTGTTGTTGTTATGTCATTCACGCCCGTCACCATCAGGGGCGAAGCCACATGTCCGAAAGGGTGGTCAACCGGCCACCCTTCGTCAGAAAATTACACTGGGTATATAGGTAAAACATTAGATTTTATAGGTATATAACATATATTGAACACTCTTTGTCAGGGAATTTTTTCACTTCTTTCAAATTTGAACACCCTTGAGAAAATTCCTGGCTTCGCCATTGGTCACCATAATGCATTGTTGTCACCTTTGTTCACTACTTGGCTGCTTTATATATCTTATCTCTACTGTTCCTTGAGCCGAGGATCTATCGGAAACAACCTCTCTATCTTTATAAGGTAGGGGTAAGGTCTGCGTACACACTACCCTCCCCAGACCCCATTTATGGGATTAAACTGGGTTTGTTGTTGTTGTTGTTGAACATATTCATAATTCCAATTTATGAAATATAAATCTGACTATTTCCATCTTTTGAAACTCAGCTTGGAGATATGGTCATTTGAACTGATGGTGATTTTGTCCGGTCTTCTTCCTAATCCAAAACTAGAAACTTCAGTTCTTTCAATCAGGTTAGTTTTATCACAAATTACCATCACATGCAACATCATGTTTTATCATATTTCGACAGGCCTAACGTTACTATTGTACTTGATAATTCCAGCCTTAATACATCTGCAATGTTACATATGTTGGCTGAAGGACTAGGTGGGGCTACAAGCGTAAGAGTTTCTAATGAAGTGGGAGCTGAACAACCAAAAGCAGCTCGTCTTGCAGCACGTACTGCAACGATCTTAGCTACCATAGAAGGGATTCTACTAGCTATAATCATGGTTTCGATACGTAAAGTCTGGGGCCATTGCTACAGCAATGAAGAAGATGTGGTGATATATGTAGGGAAAATGTTATTCTTCATAGCTGGGTCCCACTTCCTCGATGCACATAAATCCGTATTTTCAGGTTTGTCCAAAATGCTTCCAAGGCTCCAGTAATGCAACTCTTATATCCTAATTTCTTTAACTATGAAACAAGGCAGAGCGATAGCCAGCGAAGGGTGGTTAGTTGAACACCTGTCACCGGAAAATTATAGCATATAGGTCAAATAAATACTTTATTCATATATTACTAAATCTTGAGCACTCTTGGCGTCGCCACTACATTAAAAGGCAGCCTACTAACTCCCGGACCTTGTTCAGGTATTGCTAGAGGGTGCGGGTGGCAAAAGAAAGGCGCATTTGTCAATTTGGGAGCTCATAATCTGTGGGGAATACCTGCTGGTATTGTGTTAGCTTTTGTCTACCATCTTGGAGGAAAGGTATTATTCTATCGCGCATTTTATTTTCATTGCATTTTACTCGTTGTTACTTAAAATTATGGCGAAACTGATAATACTCATGCTTTTTCAATTGTATTAAAGGGACTTTGGTTGGGAATCATTCTGGCCCATTCTGCACAAGCACTAATTTATTTAGTTGTTATTCTGCTAACAGATTGGGACAAACAGGTAAAGCTTGGTTTTTGCTCATTCTGAGGCTTGTTTCAATTTCAATCACCAATTTATGCAGCTACTTTCATTGAGTTTTTTTATTTGGTTTCCCACCCGGTATCCGGTACTCACATTGGAACCCGACTAGATCCAAGTTCGCGCCGTGAAGTCCCACATTGGGGGGTAAAGCACCTCCTAACAAAGCCGACTCCATACCCCAGGGACTCGAACCCGAGACATCTGGTTATAAAAGAGTACTTAACACTCCAGCACAACCCTTGTTAATAATGCATGTCTCCTGTGTTTTGTAGGCAATGAAAGCAGCAGAAAGGGTGACTCAAGAATCAACATAAAATCTCATTTATCATTGTTTAGAATAGTTGGATGTGATGTATTAGATTTAGTTCAATGGGCTTTGTGTTTGTTTAGGAAGGACTGGTTTTGTGTTTGTTCTTTGCCAAAACAAAATTCCTTCCATTTCTTGTGTTCCTAATATTAATATGAGTTTGTGCAAAGCTTATATGAACACAAATTGAGTTGCTCTAAAAACTTCTCAGACAGTAAGTTGTCTCGGGCTCAGACATCCACTATACGCGAGTTTGATCTTTAGTTTAGGCGATTGAGAGGGCGCCAATTGTTAACTATTAAGTGGACGCATTACAAGGGCGTCGCCAAGTCAGATTTTTGCACGAGGCAGACTTTCGAGAGGTGTTTATATGGTCACTGGTCTATAGATGTGCATTGATCAAGATTTGAACATTACGGATTTGAGTTCAGAATTCTACTACAACTCATTTGAGTTTATAGGATTCACAATCTATTATACAAATCCGAGCTAAAGCCTATGAGTTTGGATAAGCTTGTAACTAAAACACTACCCTGCCTCTGGTGGGATAGTTAAAATATCTACTTGATAATTGGTAAGTTTGAATGTCTATCCATGTATTTCTCCAAACTTCTGAGGTGAACATTGATGTTATTGAGCGAAACCGACATTCACTACAATAACAACACTTGCTACGCCTCAATCCCAAACAAGTTGAGGTCGGCATCACTCTCGGGGCAAAATACATTTCAACCCCTGCTTATTTTTCTTCCACTGGCATGTTTTTCTATAGTTTTCATGTTTCTTCAGAAATATGCATAGTAGCAACAATAATATTTACTCACTTCTTAGTCTATCATTTTCCTTGAGCCGAGGGTCTATCGGAAACACCCTTTCTACCTTCACAAGATAGGGTTAAGGTCTGCCTATACATTACTCTCCCCAGACTCCACTTGTGAGATTACACTGGGTTTTTTGTCGTTGTTGTTTTTTAGTTTATCACTTCCACTGTATGGAAATCAAAGAAAATAATGCTACAGGGCTTTAGTAAATCTTTTTTTTTTCTTCTAGAAACTAAACGCGAAACTAGTTCAAAAACAAATGCAAATCAATATTCACATTATTTGCTTACTTATATTTGTCATCATAATTTGCTAACCCTGAACTTGTGAGCTTCTTGCCTTATGTCATTCTTCTTTTACCATTTTCTTCTATGCTAGCTCTGGAGTCACTCTATCAGCTGCTTTCTTTGCCTACAAAAGGACAGAGGGAAGTTGCAATATCTAAAATGAGTTCAAGTTTGGTGAAGTAAAGAATATTTTCACAATCATATTATTTTTAAGCTTATTCAAGTAAATCATAAACCTATTAAATTATATTAGTAGTATAGAAAATGTCTACATTGTTGGTCTATGTTGCGCAAACTCTCCAAAACAGCTGCCGCACTCCTGTCGGATCCTCCAAAAATACACTATTTTTGGAGGATCCGACATGCACTCATCGATATATTTTCGGAAAGTCCGAGCAATGTAGGTGTTGGTGGATATAACTCAAGTTCTATCCATAAACATTCTATATGGTGAAGCTTTAGAAGTAGGAGAAAAATAGATTTACCTCTTTGTCCCAATTTGTTCTCAGAGTAACTACTAAATAAATCAGGGCTTGAGCCAAAAGGGATAGAGTAAGTCCCAACCAAAGTCCCTTTAAACACCATTAGAAAAATATGAATATCATCAGTTTTGTTTAAAAAGATAAATAAAAAAAAATTCAAATAAAATCAAATGCATAAATGAGTACCTTTCCTCCAACATGGTATACAAAAGCTAATAAAATACCAGCAGGAATTCCCCACAAATAATAAGCTCCCAAATTGACAATTGCACCTATTTTTTGCCAACCACATCCTCTAGCAATACCTGAAGTGAGAGTTTAGCATATAAAACTTGCATTATTAGAAATATAAGAGTAGCCCGGTGCACTAAGCTCTCGCTATGCGCGGGGTCTGGGGAAAGGCCGGACCACAAGGGTCTATCGTACGCAGCCTTGCCCTGCATTTCTGCAAGAGGCTGTTTCCACGGCTCGAACTCGTGACCTCCTGGTCACATGGCAGCAAATATTATTAGAAATATAAGATTGTTGGAATATTTCTAAAAGAAGATTTGAACAAACCTGAAAGTACAGATTGATTTGCATCTATGAAGTGTGATCCTGCTATAAACATTAACATTTCCGCTACATACGTTACTACTTCTTCTTCATTGCTATAACAACGGCCCCATGATTTACGAACCGAAATGATGAATATTGCTAATAAAATTCCTTCTGTACTAGCTAAAAATAGTGCAGTATACGCTGCTACACGAGCTGCTTTTGGTCGTCCACCGCCTAATTCATTGGAAACTCTTATGCTGAGGAAGAAAACCAAAGTGTAAGAAATAGTGAGGTAGTGTCAACTGTGAAAGATGATTGAGAAGGAAAATGTGTAAGTAGGAAATTTACCTTGTGGCACCACTTAGTCCAAAAGGCAACATATATATCATACTAGATGTATTAAGGCTGAAAATTGCAAACAACAGTAACATTAGGCCGGGCGAAATATCACAGGAACATGATGTTGCATCTGATAGTAATGTGTTAAAGAACTAACCTGATGGAAAGAACCGACGTTTCTAGTTTTGGATTAGGAAGAAGACCAGATAACAGAACCATCATTTCAAATGACCAACTCTCTAAGCTGAATCCATTAAAAAAGAATCTAATTCATTCATTCAATGGAATTATATGTCTATGCATTCATTAGTAGAAGTGACTAAGGATTACCAAAGCATAATGGCTGAAGGAATTGCAAGTCTAAGATATCTCGGGATATCAGAAAATGCTTTGGTTGAAAATCCCGTCCAAGTACTTTTGCAAGAAGGCGATATCATAATATATGCAGCTAGCAAGAACACGTTAATCCAGTACGATGCAGCATTAGCCAGAGCAGCGCCTTTATTGCCAAGGCCGGTTTTGAGGACGAGAATCCAACAACTGAATAAATGCAGCAAAGTAGTGACTCCTGCAGTTAACATCATTGGGAGGACATTGTTTTGTGCTTGTAGAAACCTAATCTGACATTGTAGTAGTCCATAGGCAAAGAGGCTCGGTATCATGAAACGTGCATAATTTCCTGCTTCGGCTGCTATTTCCGGAGTTTGTCCCAAGATTACAAGAATATGTCTTGCATTTGCCCAAATATAGGCTAGAGGAATACTAACTAAAAGAAGAACAATCATTGCCCTTTGCATATAAATACCAAGCATATGATATTGCTTTGCACCATATGCTTGCCCGCAGATTGTGTCCAATGCACTTCCCATTCCCATCTGATCAAGCAAAATAGAATCCAAAATGCAGATATCAAAAAGTAAATTCTTTTAAAACAATGACAAACATTTAAAGAAATAAACTTGTATAAACTTGAATAGATACACAACAAGTATATGTTAAATAGTTAAATACCACATAGGGGTAAGGTCTGTGTACACACTACCTCTATCGGAAACAGCCTCTCTATTCCTCCGGAGTAGGGGTAAGGTCTGCGTACACACTACCTCTATCGGAAACAGCCTCTCTATTCCTCCGGAGTAGGGGTAAGGTCTGCGTACACACTACCTCTATCGGAAACAGCCTCTCTATTCCTCCGGAGTAGGGGTAAGGTCTGCGTACACACTACCCTCCCCAGACACCACTTGTGGGATTCCACTGGGTTGTTGTTGTTGTTGTAGTTAAATACCACATAGCATATAAACTTAAGTTTCATGCTTGTTACTTTCAATACAAATGTTTTTAGCTAATTTGGACTATAGAACAGTTCATTAACTCCCTTTGGGACATTTACATATCAAAGCAGCAATAAGAAAGGGCATCCCGGTGCACTAAGTTCCCGCTATGCGTGGGGTCGGGGAAGGTCGGACCACAAGGGTCTATTGTACGCAGCCTTACCCTACATTTCTGCGAGGCTGTTTTCACGGCTCGAACCCGTGACCTCCTGATCACATGGAAGCAACAATCTGAACTGAAAAAAGGACTTACCAACAAGCTGAAACCAGTGACAGTGGCAAAAGAAGTAGCCATAGAAGCACCAGAAAGAGCTAATTCTCCAAGATGACCAACAAACATTACAGAAATAACCTGTAAACAATATAGCAGAAGATTTACTGACATTAAAGGCCCTGCTAATCCCAACAACTTCTTCACTTCTTCTAAAAACTCATCACATTTTCTCTTGTTCTTAGATTCCTCATTTCTTGACTTTGATATTAGTGGACACTCAATATCTATTTCCCTTTCTTGAATATCCATTTTCCCTCCTCAACTTTGCCTTCACAAAGCAAAAATGGCTAAAACTGAAAGGTTGAAAAATCAAACATTTTCAAGATTGATTCCTTTTGGCAGAATGTTGGCATTTTTAGTTTAATAATTTTGCAACTAGTAAAAAAGAAAAGAAAAGAAATGAAACAGGATATATTTAAGTAAAGATCTTTTTCCACTTTTTGTCATCTCTATGCTAAAACTTTTGGAATCATAAGTAAAGACAAATTTATAAAAAAATCTTTCTTGTGTAGGGGCAGACATAAGATAGAAATAGAATTCTTTGTAACAAAGCCCAACCAAAGCTGATAGTGATATCCCAATGGATAAAATATAGATGATATTTGGCAAATGGCTTCTACATTGGAGAAAGTAAAAGGGCGGTCCGGTGCACTTTCCGCTATGCACGGGATCCGGGGAAGGGTCGGACACAAGGGTCTATTGTAAATTGTGAATATATTCATATATATATATAGATGATATTTGGCAAATGGCAACACGTGAAGAAATGCTAGAAGGTACAAATGCTTGCCATTCAAAACGAGAATCTTGACTGAAGGCAAAATTGGCCAAGCCATCTGCTGCCGAATTAGCCTCCTTGTAGATATGAACAATAGATACCACCTAGTTGACATTTGACTTATTTTAGTAATGTATAAACTATTTTTGGTGGAAAAGAAAAATGATTGTTTTGACAATTTTTGTAGCTTGAGGCGGAGGGATTTATAGGCAAATACATGGGTCACGTGAACCCATGGTCATTCCGTCAAACTAGGTATTTTATGTACATATTTTTTTTAGAAATAGTCTAGTATTATATGCTGGCACCTATGCTCTAACAGGCTAAATGATGCACTTGGTTGAATATTTAGTTATTTACCCGGAGGATAACGAGGCCAAGGGTAAAGATGAAGTAGAATTTAAAGTTATTAGTAAATTGTCACGACCCAAACTACCATGTCGTGATGGCACCTATCATGGTACTAGGCAAGCCGACTCTTTACCAAAAACAACCCGATATTTCAATTTTAAGATAACTTCAAGCTATTTAATAATAAAACTTCATAAAGAAAATCTGAATAACGAAAATGCAGAAAGAAAAGCCCGACATTGGGGTGTCACTGGTCATGAGCATCTACTAAAATCTATCCCAAACACTGAGACTAAAACAGTCTGGAAATGTGACTATAACAGCTATAGGAAGATAGGAGGGAGAAGAACAGGGTTGCGATCGCCAGCAGCTATCTTGCCAACTCCGAGAAGAATCTACAGCTGGGCTAGTCAACAGCCGCTACCGGGTTCTGATACACCTGGATCTGCACACAAGGTGCATGGAGTAACGTGAGTACGCCAACTCAGTAAGTAACCAAAGTAAATAAAGGCTGAGAAGCAGCGACGAGCAATAAAGCATATAAAGTTCATATCATGAATACAACAGGCTTTTAAAAGTAGACTTTGAATCAAATCATTTCGTTTAAACTAAGTTTCAGTAAAAATCATTTGAAGATATTTTTCAACGTTTCTCAAATAGAGGCTCAGTGCAACAGTGAGCAAAATGGTGAAAACATAAATAGCCCATCGGGCAAAACATCACTCATGAACAGCCCCTCGGGCAAACCTCGCAGTCACTCGTATATAGCCCCTCGGGCATACCTCACCATCACTCACACTCAGGGTACCCGCGCTCACTGGGGGTGTGCAGACTCCGAAGGGGCTCCTTCAGCCCAAGCGCTATAACAAGCCACCTCGTGGCATAAATCAATCAGGCCCTCGGCCTCACTCAATCATGAATCAGTAACAACATGATGCGGCGTGCATCCCGATCCCATAAATATCCTCACAAATCAGGCCCTCGGCCTCACTCAGTCATAAACCTCTCAAGTCACTCGGGCTCTCAGTAAAAACAGGGTACTTAGTCCAAAACAATATTTTATATGCATCAAAACAGAGTAATAAAGACTGAGTTATGAAATCAATAAGTATAACATGACTAAGTATAGATTTTTAGCCAAAAACAGTGAGAGAATAGTAAGAAAAGGCTCCTAACAATCCAAACAGCTCTGGCACAAGGCCCAAATATGGCATTCAGCCTAATTTACAGAAACTCTTTCTAAAACACATAAGTATCATATAGTTTCAACCAAATACGCAAATTTATAATTGCTACGGGACGGACAAAGTCACGCCCGTCACCTAGCATGCGCGTCACCTCAAAATAGTAAAACGATACGAAATCCGGAGTTTCATACCCTCAGGACTAGATTTACAATTGTTACTTACCTCAAACCAGTCAAATCCCTACTCTGCGATGCTCTTGCCCCTCGACTCGGCCTCCAATCGCTCCGAATCTATTCATAACCAGAACAATACCATCAATATACGCCAATGGGATGAATTCCACAAGAAAAATTATCAAATTAGGCACAAATCCCGAAATCTTCTCAAACCCGGCCCCCGGGCCCACGTCTCGGAATCCAACAAAAATCACAAACTAGAAAGCCCTTTCACTCACGAGTCCATACATACAAGATTTATCAAAATCCGACTCCATTTGACCCCTCAAATCCTCAATCAAACTCTCCAAAATCCCAAGCCCTAACCCCTCATTTTCGCCCTTAATCACCACTAATTACATGATTAAACAACGGGAAATTACCATAAACACGAGTATTAGGGCTCAAATTACTTACCTCAATGAAAACCCCCTTGAATCCCTCTTGAAATTGCTCCCAACAGCTCCAAAACCGGATAAAAATGGTGAAGAATGACCCAAAATTCGCGAAATCCTCAATTTATACTTTCTGCCCAAAACTTCCGCATCTGCGCTGCCGCACCTGCGGAAAATCCATCGCAGGTGCGGTTCCCACTTATTCCCTCAGAAACCGCTTCTGCGGTCCCAACATCGCTCTTGCAGTCTCGCATGTGCGCTCCACTACTCGCAACTGCGGCTCCCAGCCAACCTCAGCTTCTTCTCCGCTTCTGCGGGCTCGCACCTGCGAACCCCACTCCGCAAGTGCGGTTATGACAGCTGAGTTCAATCTTCAGCATTCTTCAAATTCCAACCTTGTTCCGTCAACCACCCGAAATCAACCCGAGGCCCTCGGGACCTCTACCAAACATACCAACAAGTCAAATATCAACATACGAACTTAGTCGAACCTTCGAATCGCTCAAAACAACATCAAAACACCAAATCATCCTCGGATTCAAGCTTAAGAACTTCTAAACTTCCAAATTCCGCAAACGACGCCGAAACCTACTAAATCACCTCCGAATGACCTGAAATTTTGCACACACGTCACAAATGACACTACGAACCTACTCCAACTTCTGAAATTCCATTCCGACCCCGATATCAAATTTTCCACTGCCGACCAAAATCGCCAAATTTTCCAATTTCGCCAATTCAAGCCTAATTCTACCACGGACCTCCAAATCACATTCCGGACGCGCTCCCAAGTCCAAAATCACCTAACGGAGCTAACCGAACCATAAAAATCCAAATCCAAGATCGTTTAATCATAAGTCAACATCCGGTTGACTTTCCAACTTAAGCTTCTAAATAGGAGACCAAGTGGCTCATTCCACACCGAAACCACTCCGGACCCGAACCAACCAACACGATATGATGAAATACAGCTGAGGAACACATAAAGAAGCAGAAATGGGGGAAACGTGGCTATAATTCACGAAACGACCGGCCGGGTCGTTACTACCAAGTTTTTGTTTGCTCTAGGGCCGAAGCCGTAACGTGCGCCTAATCCATACAGGACACTATTACCACTAGACCGAAGCCCTAGGTATACCTTTGAAAGCTTATGTAAAGAAGATTAGAGTGGCAATAATAATGGAAAGCTAGAGTAAATAAAGAAGCGCTAATTTCCAAAATAGAATATGTTGCCCTGAGACTGCTAGTAAATGCATTAGATGAATTCAACAGAAGTAAGTTTATAGTAATTATAAGTTTTAATAACAATGTATCAATTTCTTTGACCAATCAGAATTGCCTTCCAAGATTTATACTAGCCTCAAAATGTCCAAGGGAGTACTTCTTGATCATTTCTACGAACGTAAAACCCCAATTGGAACATTATCTTGTGGTTATAATAGTGCGAGGCAAGGACCTTCAAGATTCTGATCCTAAGATATAGAGGCAAATCTTGAAAAACTGTTGTATTAATTCATCAACCAGTCGTCGCGAGTGTGAGCTCTGAGCCCTCTAACCTAAGAGATCTTCAGATTTTGAACTTGTAAGTAATCTTGCCATATTATGTCATTCTGCATTTTCTTCTCTGTTAGCTAGCTCCGGAATCACCCTATTAGCTGCCTTCTTTGCCTACAAAATAAAGAATTAGACTTGCATTATTACTATATTTCATACAACTCAACTTTTCAAAGAACAAATCAAACGCCAACTTCACTAGCGATCTGTGTTGAGACATAATATAATTAAGTAATTCAACAATCCGGCTGAGTTACCAAAGAGTTTTACCTGTTTTTCCCAATTTGTGCGCAGAGTAACTATTAAAAGAAGTAGAGCTTGTGCAAAAAGAGCAAGAGTGATTCCCAACCAAAGTCCCTGCAAACCATATTATTAGTTTTTCGACTAGTTCCAACGCTAGAAATGCAAATAAAATGAGAAGCTTGAAAGAGTACCTTTCCACCAAAATGGTAGACAAAAGCTAATATAACACCAGCAGGTATCCCGAAAAGGTAATAAGCTCCCAAGTTGACAATTGCCCCTATCTTTTGCCAGCCACATCCTCTTGCAGTACCTGAATTATGGTACGCGATAAGGTCATATAGTCATTTAACTCCAGTGACGGATCCAACATGAGTTTATAGGTTCGGCATAACTCAGTGTTTCAGGGTTGAATTATATATATATGTGTGTGTGCGAAACAAGTGTAGAAAGAGTTAGATATACATCCCAAAACATACTTTCTTGACACAGGACCTACACCGTCTAAATTCTGGATCCGCTACTGTTTAACTCTCCTTCAAGATTAAAGATGCTGGTATTTTGGATAAACAACGAAGAAAAATTGATTATACTATCAGAGCAAATGAAACAAATTGAACTGCTGCATTAGCTCTTCTTAATTTCAATTTGCCTAATCATCTGTTATACCCTCAAGCCTTGTTTTAACAAATCAAGAAAGGGGAATCTTAGTAGCTCAGTTGGTTGGCTATTTCAACTTTCACCTAGTTGGTGAGGGTTCGATTCCCCCTCCCCCATTCCCCCTTCCCTTACCTACCCGGATTTTTTCTATACAAAAAAAAAA